TTGTAGGCAAACAACTTTGACAAGTGAGATCAGTCACTGTTTTTCGATAGGGTCGTTCAACACTATGATAGTCTTATCGTATTATTTGTGTCCTTAGTCAGAATAATACTGGGACGACAAACACTTCTAGAATGGCTACCATATATGATTATATGGTTTTCACTATCAAGATTTGAAACACTTGATACCCTCATCACGATTCTACCATCCTAAGGACATATATCAATACACACAATTATGATTTATATGATATAGAAGAAAATTGTCTTTTATTGATTAATAAATATTATTTTACAGAGTCAATTCTACAATAATGGATTGGCTCTAGAGCACCTACTCTAACAATCGGGTCTTGACAATGTTAGATATTGTAAGGCTCCAATAATGCTTCTATAAAGTGCTAGATTATCAAACAAATCACTGTTCTCAAAGGTCAATTTGTTGCCTATAGCCATCGGTGTAGAACATGGCTTGGAATCCATCATTCTAGTCTTTACTAGAAAGTCTTTGGCATATTTTTCTTGACTCATATGAATGCCTAAGTCATTTCTAAGAACCTCAAAACCTAAAAATTATTTTAGTGACCCTAATGTCTTCAAGGAAAATTCAATGTTCAGCTTGTGCATAACCTCACTCGCAAATGTAGCATCACTACCAGTCAAGAGAATGTCATCTACATAGACAACAACATAGGCTACCTAATCATTTTGTTTGTAAATAAATAGGCTGGAGTCTGCCACAGAAGTTACAAAACCCCACTTAGGAAAGGCAATTTTGAGCTTGTCAAACTAGGCTCTCGGGGCCTGTTTTAGGCCATATAGTGCCTTAACTAGTTTACAAACATGAAGAGGATTTTTGGAGTCCACAAAACCTTGAGGTTGAGACATGTAAATTGTTTCACTAAGCTCACATTTAAGAAAGCATTATTTACATCCACTTTTTGAATATCAAATCCATGGGTGACAACTAAGACCATCTCCAATCTATTGCACCAAATTGGTGCAAGTTTCACACTAAATTGGTGTGATTTTTAGTGTAAAACACTATTGCATCTCTAACCCATTACACCAAATATTACACCAAAAGAAATATTCTTTAGAATATTCTCTTTCTTTTTCTTTTATTATAATAACCAACAATTAATCTATTTCACTTATTATATATATATATTAAATATTAGGAATGATATTTTTATTAAATAATAATTACTTTGAAAATTATACTAATTTAATAAAATTAAGCATTTATTTAATCAAATAAACATTACAATTAATATAGAAAAATATTATATCTAATATAAAATGATACCAAAAAAAAAAAAAAAAGCAACAACAACACAAAAGTAAAATTCCATATTGATAGTAATTTAATTTTCTGAATTAGTATATTCTTCCCACAAATGATCAATTAATGCATTTCGAAGAGCATGATGAGCCTCTGTATCCTTGATTTGTCTATGTCGAGCAAGAAAATTTTGAAATCAGACATTTTCATCTATGACAATTTCAACTTCGGGAGTTGGCGCTTCCATCTGTTCTTTTAATTTTAGTGTTTTTAAATTAGTGTTAATTTTTATTTTGAGTTGTTGTAGTTTAATATTTGCATTGAATCAAATTTTTTTTTTTAATTTTTCATCATTTTTTGAATTATATCATTATTATGAATTTATTATTATAAATATTAATATAAATAATAATCAAATTAAATTAAATACAAATAATCAAATTTGATGTGATTTTTGGTGTAAAATTTAATAATCAAATTAACTTAACAAAATTTTTAAAAAAAAAAAATTAATGGTGCTACAGTGCCACACCAATTTGGTGTGGAGCTACAGTGTTGTGCCAAATTTGGCATGGCACTGTAGCTCCACACCAATTTGGCGCAGCAATTAGCATTGGGTTGGAGCAAAAACCACGCCATTTTGGTGCTTTTTACACCAAAATGGCGTGGGTTGGAGATGCCCTAAGCTTAACACAACTATAATTGTAGATGACTTAATAACTGGACTAAAGGTCTCAATGTAATCCATTCCAAGAGTTTGTTGGAACCCTTTGGCCACTAACCTGGCTTTGAACCTTTGAATTGAACCATCTGCATTATGCTTAATCTTGAATACCCATTTACACCCAACTATATTCATGCGAGGCTTAGCTGGAACAAATTCCCAAGTATTGTTAAAGAGCAATGCAGTAAACTCACTGTGCATGGTAGCTTTCCAGGTTGGATAGGAGAGAGCTTTAGAAACACTTACTAGTTCAGTTGTGTCAAGGTGAGAAGTGACTAGCATTGTGTTATGAAGTGTGGTTTTGGATCTAGTAAGCATGGGGTGAGTATTAAGGGGTTGAGGAGCAGTAGGTAAGTCAACTGTAGGCTAAATATTTTCAAGAGAGGTACTGGAAGGGATATGAGTTGAAACATGGTTGTCAAAGGGTAATTCAATAGCTAATTGAATGCTGTCAGGAGAGGGATTTGAAGAAGTATGAATGCAAGGTTGTTTTTCAAAGGGTAGTTCGATAACAAGTTGAATAGGTTAGGAGAGTGATGTGTGGAGTCAAGAGATGTAGGAATAGGTGACATGTGGTGTGGACTAGGTGTTGAGTGTTCTAGGGAGTGATTTATGACTCTAGGCAGTGTTCTGGAACTTGAAGGAATGTGAGGTGACATGGCCATAGTTGTATCCTAATGATCATGTGATGTGATAAGAAAAGATAAAAAAGCAAATGTTCTTCTGACTCAACAAGTGTAGCAAATGAATGTTTATTTGACTTAACATGTGTAGCTAAGACAGAAGAAACAATAGGTAATTTAAAGTAAGAAACAGGGGACAAATTAGCAAACAAATCAGAACTACAAGATGATGATGCAGAAACAGATGTGTTATTTTGAGGAGATGATGAACATGTATCAAAAGGAAACTAGATTCATCAAATTTGATACTTGGACAAATATAGACTTTGCCATTAGAATCCAAAAATTTGTATCCTTTGTGATTTAAGTTGTAGCCAACAAATATGCACTTAGTTGTGTGAAAATCAAATTTGTGAGCACTATAGGTTCTAGTAAAGGGATAGGTTGCACATCCAAACACTCCAATAATGGAATAGTTAGGTTTTTGTTTGAACAAAACTTCAAATTGAGAGTAGTTTGATAGGACAAGAGTGGGCAATCTATTGGTGAGAAAAGTGGTAGTTTAAAAGGCAAACCACCAGTATTTCAAGGGCATACAGGCTTGGGCTAATAATGTTAGGCCTTGTTCCACTATTCGTCGGTGTTTTCTCTCAACTCTTCCATTTTGTTGGTAAGTGTAGGGACATGGATGTCTAAAGTGAATCCCATGATCAAGAAAATATGAAGCTAAACTTCTATACTCACCACCCTAATCAATTTGAATAGATTTCAGGGTTGTATTAAACTGTCTCTTGCTAACTTATGAAACTGTTTGAAGATAACTTGGGTTTCAAATTTAACTTTTAAGGGAAAGATACAAGTAAACTTACTATAGTCATCTAAAAATTGAAGGTAGTACTTAAAGCCTTCAGGAGATGGGATAGGTGATGGTCCCCATAGGTCAGAATAGACCAATTCCAAGGGTTTAACAGCTCTAGAATCAAACCTACGAAAGTTAGACTAACTTAGTTTTCCAAATTGACAAGTTATGCAAAAATCAAAAGTACTTTTGACAGAGCAATTTATCTTTAAAGAATGTAAAATTTTGGCAAGAATATGTGCATTAAGGGTGCCCTAACCATTTGTGCCACAACATGCCACTAGTTTTTTCAATAGGAAAGGATTGAAATGTATGCATTTTGTTATTGGCAACAACATCATTACACATGGATACAAATGTAGTAGAATTGAAAGTAACATTATTTTCATCAAGATTCTGGAGATTACAATCTCTACTAGTATTATTATGCTCACAACATTGTGAAACAAAGGATGACATAAACTGTTTAGATGTAACAGAATCCTGAGCAGAGGAATTAAAAGCTGAGACTGTAGAGGTGAGAGGATCAACAAGAAGGTTTGAGGATAGTGAAGTATCTAGAATTTGAAGCTGATATAGTCCAACCTTAAGCTTTCCTTGAAGAAGGACAGTTTTGGACTGCTTGTCCTTTACAACACAATGATCAACAAAGAATTCAACTATAACACTGTTATCTCTAGTGAATTTAGATATGCTTAACAAGTTTTTTGTAATATGAGGCACACACAACATATTTTTAAGGTAAAGAGATCTAGAATTGCAGGGTAATGAAGTAAAACCAGTATGTGAAATAGGAAGTAACTCACCATTGCCAACCTGGAGCTTGCTCATTGCCAGTGCAGTGAGACTATAATGTTAGCTGAGATAGGTTTGATGTTGCATGGTTTGTAGCTCTAGAGTCCATGTACCATGATGCATCTTGGATGGTGGAAGATATAGCAATGTAGTTGGCAACAAGAGAGGAATAGTTTTGTGACTGTGTTTGGGATAGAAACACTTGATTATTGGCATTAGTCCTACCAGCTTGAGCTCCAGTGTGCACTTGAGACTATCTTGAGTGTAAGGGAGTTGTTGTGGAGAATTCAGTCTAATGAGGATGTTGAAGACCAGTATTAGGATAGAGAGGAGAGGAAAATCCAACTTGTGTAGGCATTGGGGAGCCCATATTATGGGCAGGATGGAACTGGTGAAAGTTTTGAGGAGAAGGTTGCGATCCTTGAAACAGTCTTGGAGATTTGGAATAACTCTAACAAAAATTGGTTCTACCAAATGAATTATGTCTTCCTATAAAGTTGGCATCAAACCTATGATAGCAGTTTAAGGCAAGATGTCCAATCTTGCTGCACACTTGGCATATGAATTTTCCTCGACCTACCCCTCTACCTCTCCCTCTGCCACCAGTAAATGGAGAAGTATAGATCTGATTCTGTGGTATGAATTAATTAGTTCCAGTGACAGATTGTTGGGGAGTATAACTGTGAGGGGTAAAGTCAGAAGGTTGTCCAATAAACTAAGATTGTCCAGCTTTGAACTGAAGCTGATCACTCTGCTTATTCTGATACTTCTTATTGGTCATATCAGTTGAGATATTAGCTAAATGTACTAAGCTTCCATGAAATTCGTTGTTAATCATAGAGTTCATAGCTAAATTTTCCTTCTCTAACCTAGGCTCATATTTTTGTAGAATAATTTGAGCTTCTTGTACAGTAAGAGGATCTAGCCTAGACTCCAAACATGTGGTGATGTTAACAACTACAACATCATACTTCGAGCTAAGACCATCCATAATGTAGTTCATGAGCTCTTCATCCATAACAATTATCCCACTTGCTAATGGATTTTCAATGAATCCTTTCATTTTAACAAAGTAGTCATGGATACTGAGATTATCCTTTTTAGTGTTTTGTAACAAATATTTGACATGCAATGTTTTTGTTCGAGACTCAATAAGGAATTCTTTTTCAAGAGTAATCCACATATCAACGAAATACAGGCATTTAGAAATCACTATGAACATTGACTCAGAGATTGAGCTTAAAAGCCAGTTTACCAGCATTTTATTAGTCTTCTTCCACTGATTATACTCTGGATTATTTTTTTTCTCTGTTGCAGTGTCTGATCCTTTAGCTTGAATTTTAACAAACGATGTCGGACAAGAAATCAATCCAATTAGGTGTTCCTCCAAATCATGAGAACCAATAGCAAAAAGGACTTAGGACTTCCAAAATCTGTAGTTATCCCTAGTCAATTTGGGGGAAATTGTAGGAAGAACTGAAGAAGGCATCTGTTGAGAATTCGCAAAATTGGATGTTTCAGTGTTTAATTTGTAGCTCAAATTGTTTTGTTGAGATGAGAAATTAGGGAGATCAACCATCTTTGACGCTTGTCGATGGCTCTGATACCTTGTGAGGTTTCGAATGAAAAACAGAGAAAAATGAAGAAAAGAAGCAAAGAGATTTCTGGGAAATTTCATGTATTATTTCTTACAAGAGAGTACAAGGTACAATGACACTTTGCAAGCTAGTGTGTTGAGATGAAACAGTAACTAACTCTATTAGTTGTTAACGACAGTAACAACTTATTAACAAAACTTAACAGCTTCCTTTACTAATCTCTTCCCTCAAACTAAATTGGGAAAGATTGTTACACTTTTACTAACATTGTACACTTTCACATACTAACATCTTCCCTCAAACTGAGCAGGAGTACTTGTTACTAACAAATACTACAGCTTTGACAATATTAGATGACTGTCATTCTTATTTTCTTGCAACTAGCAGATATTTTGGAGAATAATAAAGTCTTTATGAATGAACTTCAAAATATTTGTTGATCAATGGAATCTATCTCCTTACAAAGGGAAGTAACATTTTTTGTATCTTACATTTTGTTAGTTATATAAGTTATATATTTTGATGACTACAATTAGGTACTATTCATTATTGTATTTGGTGTTTTTGTTTTTAAATATAGATTCAAAAATGATATTGAACGCACCCTTACATACCAAACATTTTACAAATTTACAACTAAAAAATAAATAAATAAAATAAAAGAGAAACTATTATGAAACCAAAAATATGTCAATAATATATTCAACTACAGTAGACATAACTAAAATATAAAAATATATATGCATAAGGATAGAAGCTAACATCCAACTTCGGATTAAAACTTACCATCATCCTTGTTAGAGTTGGTGCCCTAGAGCCAATCAATTATTATAAAATTGACTCTTTGTAATAATGTTTACTAATCAATAAAAGGAAATTTTCTTCTATATCATGTAAATTATAATTGCGTGTATTGATATATGTCCTTAGGATGATAGAATCGTGACGAAGGTATCAAGTGTTTCAAATCTTGATAGTGAGAACCCTATGATCACATATGATGGCCATTCTAGAAATGTCTATAGCCCTAGTATTATTCTGACCAAGGACACAGATAATATGGTAAGACTATCATAGTGTTGAACGACTCTGTCGAAAGACAGTGACTGATCTCACTTGTCAAAGTTGTTTGTTGACAACCTGGTGCGACACATAGGTGCTTGCTGTAGGCAAGTTCATTTGACAGACCCACCAGAGAATTCCATATAGATGGTAACCCCAGTGTCTATGGAATAAAAACTCTAACGAATGGTGGTGCGTGTGATCCTTAGACTTAAGATCACCGGAACGCCTTGTGCACCGATTGGTGTTGTTTGACACTAACCTAACGTAGTTCTATTCAGAGTTATCAATACGGTAGTGATTGGCTGCATTGAGAAATGTATCAAAACTATGGTGGATCAACAAAGGATTCATCACTCCTAGGTACGGGAGAAGTGATCTCACGACGCAATTCAGTGAATGGCAATGACACTAAAGTTGTGGCCACAGTGGGATTGAGTTGTTGCTCAATCCAATTTATTATTCCAGTCATTGGTCCAGTAACTGAATACAAAGATATCGAAGATAACTAAAGTTGACACTATTTATGTACCTCAACCTCAATGAGATAATAGATGATGAAAGGATTAGTTTGCACGGTAACCATGTCGTTGATAGGCAAGCTATTTCGTTGAATCCGAATCTATCGAGTGGCCATGATGCCTTGCTAGAGGTCAATTTTGGTCTGTGTTTAGTGAGACGATTGATTGGTGTCAATCGCGAGACTATTCACTACCGTTATGATGAGGAGCCTTCGGGTCACACACATAGAAGACAGATTAAGGATGAATTGCTGAGAAATGGTGTTTTCGTCATTTATGATGGAAATGATATCTTTGTCTTTTGAGATGAAATGACATTTTGGTAATCTCACAGTGTAATTAAATTTGCTGAGGTCGTTGCTTATATTTAATTTCATATTGAAATTAAAATTAGTGAGATTATGTATTTAAATATATTCATATATATATATATAATTTAATATTAATATTTGATGATATTAATATTAGTGAAGATAATATATATAAAATATGAAATTCATATTTGAATTTAAATATATATTCAATATTAATATTTGATGATATTAATAAAGATAATATATAAATATGAAAATCATATTTGAATTTGAATAAGATGACATGTGGATTATTACTTTGTTTAGTAATGAGGATTGACTATTCTAGTCATGGAATAAATTTATTCATAACTAGATTAGGGTTTTAATTTTGTTGCATATAAAAGGCAAATTAGAATTAAAATAAAATTGGAGAACACATTAATAAAATCCAAGCCACTCACCTCACTCTCTCTCACATTTTTCACTTGGTGGAGAAGAGAATTTTTCTTGAAGAAAAATTTTGCATCCTTTTTGCTTGTGTGTCTTGCTAGCACTTGAGACCGCAAGTCGATCGTCATCTTGTTTTCGTGTGGATACCAAGAGTTCACTCTTATCTTAGAGTGTGAGTGATTCGTATCGATTGAAGAAGTCTCCAAACGCTGGTATAAAATTTGGAAATTTTATATTCAATATCATTTCATATGTAAATAACGTAAATCGGGTATAAGGTTATTGGGTTTAATGTTGTTGTTAGAGATTTTATTTTTATTTTCCATTGCGTAAACCCTATCAGCGACTGACAATCCCAGCATTTGTGTTAAGAGTTAAAAGCAGTAAAAATCAATCGTTCAGGCTTCTAAGTTCTAACTCTTTCAGAGAAAGATGTTTTAGGAAATATGTGGAGGAAGACACCTTTTATTCATATATTATCATTAATGTATACATCCCTTTTATAAGTTTATAAGGAGAAAATTAACGTTACAAAACCCCTTAATCTTCTTAACACAAAACTGATTAAAAAATCCTTTGATCTTCATTTTCCCAACACACAAAAAACTGAAAAAAAAAAAAAAAAATTAATCTTCATCTTCCTAACAAAAAGAGGTTCAATCTTCAACACTTCTCCTTGAACCTTTCGGTAGCAATTCGTAGAACATTCTTTAACATCTAAAATATAGACTTAGGTAGCATCTTAGTGAAAATATCAGCTGCTTGAGAATTGGAATTGCAATGAACCATCTTGATTTCCTTTATTTTTTCTGCTTCTCGGACAACCTGAAACTTAATGTTTATATGCTTTGTCCTTCCATGTTGGACTGGGTCTTCTGCAATAGAAATTACAGACTTGTTATCACATTTAATCAAAATAGGTTCCATCTGTTCTTCACCCAAATCCTTCATTAATTTTCTGATCCAAATAGCTTGGTTTGTGGCAATAGCTGCAGCCACATACTCAGCTTCGGCTGTACTTTGAGCCACTACCTCCTGCTTCCTTGAACATCGGTAAAAAATTCTTCATCCAAGAGTGAAACAGAAACCAGTAGTGCTCTCCATATCATCTGCACTCCCAGCCCAATCACTATCCACATATCCTATTAGCTTGTCCTTCTCAATTTTCTGGAACCAAATTCCTTGATCCTATGTCCCTTTCAAGTATCTCATGATTCTTTTGCCTCCTGAGAAATGTTCATCACTAGGTTCCTACATGAATCTTGACAGAAGACTAATGGAGAACATCAAATCAAGCCTTGTTGCCGTCAAATATATGAGACTTCCCACTAGGCTTCTATATCTTGTTGCATTAGCTTTTATGTTTTCATCATTTTTCCTCAACTTCAGATTCAATGCCAGGGGAGTTGCTGCAGGCTTGCAATCTTGCATCATGAATCTTTTTAGAATTCCCTGAGCATACTTACTTTGGCTTATAAAAATGTCATCTTCTTCTTTATGCACCTCAAGACCTAGGAAATATTGCATATTTCCCAAGTCAGCCATCTCAAATTCTTTCAGATTACTTTTAAACACTCCAATCTCATTTTTGTTACTACCCGTTAACAGGCCATCCATATAGAGAGAAACTATCATAGTTCCACCTTCTTCAGATTCTTTCACATATAAAGTAGCATCATTTAGGCTCCTTTTAAATCGTTGAGCCTCAAAATATGAATCAATTCTACGGTACCAAACTCTTGGAGCTTGTTTCAAGTCGTAGAGAACTTTAGCTCTATGCAACTTGTATACTTTCTTTGCACTTCCTTGGAACTTCAAAACCTTCAGGTTGGGTAATATAGATTTCTTCTCCAAGCTAGCCATTCAAAAAAGCAGACTTGAGAATAAAAAATCAAACAAACCCTAATTATTTTTCTTTTTTTTTTGGAAATCTTTATCAAATATTAGATAGATCCCACCATTATATAAGATTTTGAAGGTAATCTTACATCTCATGTTGATGTACCCATACTTTAACTTTGTTTATATATCAAATAATTGGTGGTGGGTGTTAGAATGTTTTAAATCAAATGTTAGTTTTAAGAAATATAAGAATATCCTAATAAGATTTTTTTTTTTTTTTTAACATTTTGAAAATTTTTGGTCCCGTGAATGATTTTATGTTATTTTTACGCGAGGAGAGGGGAATTTGTATAACTTTCAAATTCATGGTCACGTGCAATTTGAATTTCCAGAGAATTAGGATAATTACAATGTCATCCTTAAGGTTTTAGTTAAGTAAACTTTAGTAGGACACTTTGGTGGCAAAAATGTGACTAGTAAGAACCAAAACAT